AGATACTACTGATTACTTGGTACAATCATTGGTATATTGGAAAAAAAATATTATTACCATATCAAAACCCATCGTTTGATGGCCTCAAAGCAAATGAAACAAACAAAGCCACGTTGTACAAGGCGAAATAGTAGTTATATGGCTGGTTGGTGGTTTCAACCCCTCTGAAAAATATTAGTCAGTTGGGGTTACTATTCCCAATATATGGAAAAATAAAAATTCTGTTCCAAACCACCAACCAGATATGGTTGAAGAGACCGAATCTGTGAGAACCTGATTTCCGAAACGCAACATGGATGTAGCCAGTTTGAGACCCTGAAATCGCGGCCAGATTTTTTCGCGGAGTGCACGGGTCGTGAAAACACGATTGTCGTACTGCCGTTGAATTGTTCTGCTTGGAGCTTCATTTGAAACCCTCGGATTCCGGTCCGTGTGCGTCGACTTTTCATGTTGGCGGAAAACTGAGCGAAACAACGGTTTTGGTGACAAAAATGTCATGTTCAGTGATGATTTTTTCTGGAATTTGAGACTCAGCCAGACGATGTTTCTGGAAAAATCACTGGTCTTGACTCATGAACATGTTACCTAGCAAAGTGGATTCGTCTGAAGATTTATCATCAGTTTCCTCATTAAAAATAATCATTTTCAGACAAACCCGTATAACTTGCTGAAACCCTTTGTTTCCATCAAATTCCAATTACTGGTCCTACAAGGGACTTTTCACGCAAACAAGTCGAGGCCCACAGGCGCTTGATGTCGTTGGCGGTCCATTTGCTTTGCTGGAGAAATCTTGGCACATATTCGCAGGGTGTTCTGTTTCAATTGTTTCGGAAAAATCTGCTAGAGATCTTGGATTTGATGTCTACCCTCTGGTATTCAACGGTTTGCTATGGAAAATCACCATAGGGAAATAAATCATCGAACTAAATGACCGTTTTCCATAGCTGTCTGAGTTCACTGGAGGCTAAATACCATGAGATATGTCCAAGATGTCTACACCCATCATTCTGCCGACAATAAAAACATGTTGCGCAATCTGGGGCGTGGCTCAAAAAAAATGCGGATGAGAATGGACCTTTCATGAACCAATATATCAAGCAATAGTTACTGGTTGGTGGTTTCAACCCTCTGAAGAATATGAAAGTCAGTTGGGTTGATTATTCCCAATATATGGAAAAATGTTCCAAAATGTTCCAAACCACCAACCAGGTTAAGTGGTGGTTTACGATCGCCATAGTGATGCTCTAGAGAGTTGCCTACCAAAGAATCAGGGATTACCCCAACTTATGCCAGAAACAAAGAGGCGTCATGACAAACAGCCTGGGAATCGGCCCGGGGATAGCCCATGTTGTAGACAAACCCATTGAATCCGATTTTCTCAAACGGCCATCAATTTGAGAATTTATATATATATGTACATATATATATATATATACATATGTATACATATATTAGCAATATCAAATGGTGTTTTTCGAGACTAGGGCACCCCTTATACGGTCCAATGGTCTACGATCATTTTCCCTAGATCGAAATGGCGACTGCTATTTAAGGAAAATCCTTGCTCCAATTTCCTTCAAGGTGGTGCCCCCAAGATAGCTAAGTTGGTTTATAACTCCAATAACTATGGTTTATAGGTGATATATCTATAGTTAATGGGCTTATAACCAATTTATAACTGGGTGGGGCACCACCTTGTTATTTTCCCCTGATCTAAAATAAAATGTCTTTTTTTCCAAACAGGCACAAATTGCTATGAATTACCATATCTACCAACAAAAATGTGAAACCATGTTTGCCACATTGCCTGTTGAATACCTACTTCAAATAATCATAAATTGCGGTAGCCTGCTGTAGTCAAACCTAGTTTGCTGGAAATCCCCCCAATCGCCAAGGATTTCCTAGCCATGGCTTAAAGGGCACCGTTCACGGTACAATGTGGGGCCCCCGTGGCCACGAAATCGCCAAGTTGGGGTTCACATGATACGCAAATTTCACTATGGTGAACATGATACGCTTAAATAACAAACTAGTATTTTCTTGGAGGTTTAATTCCACCAACATTCACATCACTGGGGGGCACCACCAAGGTATATGTCCATAATACATCCCAATGATCATCCCAGTTTTTTTGTTCTTCGATTCACTGAACTCTAAAAAAAAAAACATAAAATCCCCGGCATCAGGCCATTTTTTGAAGTTCGATATGAAAATTATGACATGTCCCATGGATTGGGAAAATTCTGAAACGAAAATCCATGGGTTTCCATGGTTTTTCCCATCAATTTCCATTAATTGTCCCATCCATTGATGATATTTTCCCATGAATTTCCATGAATTTTCCATTTTCCCATGTTTTCCCATCCATTTTCCCCATGGAATTTTATCGGCTACATAGCCCAGCCCAGAAAATACTCGTCTCTCCAGCGCCACGGCTACTCGTTCAGCTCATCACGCCACCGGAGGTGTGGTAAAGACCTCGATCACATCACGGCACTAATCGGACTGGGGGGGTCTGCAGTGGGAATCTCTGGGGAAGATGGTTATTGTTGTATATAATATATATATAGATAGAGAGAGAGAGAGATTGTTGTATATATATAGTAGTGTTATAGTGTTATTAGTAGTTGTTATTATCTTCACTATTGATTATTGTTGTTCTTGCTACTGCTATGATTACTGCTATTATGATTGAATTTGATTGTTATGATTCTGATGATGACTATTATGATTATTGTGATTATTATTATCTTATTTGATCAGCAAGTCAATGTGGCTTCACTGGGGATATAAAATGGCATATTTCACTCACGGTAGATTGACATCGATATGGCTGGCTCATCGCCGACCGGATGGTGCCGTGATCCCGGAAGGTCAGTGATGTTTTGTCGGGGTCAAAAAGAGGGAAAATGGACTTCAGGGTGTTATGACTGGTGCCCCCCCCAGTTATAAATTGGTGAAATTAAGCCCATGAATACTATAGATAGATCATGATATATCACCAACAAAAACCATAGTGAAATTGGAGTTATTAGTTCACCCCAACTTGTTGCGTTCTCGTGGCCACGGGGGCACCACCTTGTGTTATGACGACTCGCACCTCATTTTCGAACGGTGTCCCACCGAGTCCAACCTTTTCAAACACTGCAGTGGTGCCCCCAATTTGGGATGGTTGAAACCCTATGAATAATGGTGGTTTTATGGGAAAATCATAGGAAAACCATAGGAAAATGGTGGTTATCCCCTCTGGTAAACATACAAAAAACTATGGAAAATCACCATGTTTAATGGGAAAACTCACTATTTCGACTGGGCCATGTTCAATAGCTATGTTAGTCATTACCAGAGGGTAAATTGGGACCTAAAAAAAATCCGGAGGATCCACAAACGATGCCAAGTCCAGGTGTTTTCATTCGAAAGTGCCAGCAGTCCTGGCTTCTTCAAATGTGCTTCATGTGATAAAACCAATAATCACCTACCATTTGGGGATGATTCTTACCACCCACTTATGTCATTCAGGATGTTTTCTTGTTGGGGCCAATGAAAATTCACACCATCAACCTGCCATCACCTGGCTATGGATCAGCTCATCGTGGTTGCTGTGAAAACACCACACCCTAGCTAGCTAGTGGCTGGATGCTGATCCACCACCAAAAGAGGATGTGACTGGATATCCTCTCACCGGCCCATGGGTTTTCGCAAAAATGGGCTGATGCCCCACTTTGTAGAACAGGTTTCTTGGAACTCTAAGATTCAATCCAGTCAAAAACCTTAGGCTTAGCCACAAGTTCTCCAGCTTTCCCCAGTCCCATGGCCGACTCGCAAGGTTCGGTCAATTTGGGGGGTTGATTCCCCTGGTTTTTCACCAGCTATAAATGGCAAAAACCCTCCAGTGGTCAAAAAGACACCGGCTATTGAAACTGGCCCATTTACAATTGATTTACCTAAACAGGGTCATGTCCCATAGTTATGTTAGTTTTACATTAGTTTACAAGATGATATATATATATATCACAGCATTTTTTTCGAAGATCACGAAGCAATGACCTCAAGAACCGCGGTGCCGGACCGGTGAAGAAGAGCTGCAGCAAAACAAGGATCCCATGTTCATGCGATGATCCTGGCTGGGGATCAAAATCGGTGTCCAGCCAAACCTCTGCCGGAACTCAATGTAGAACAAGGAAACGAAAAAAACTGAAGAAACAAAACAATTTTTGGTAGACAAAGTTGAAGAATGTTGAATTTGATCTGGCTGTGTCCAAAAAGTGGCGTGTTATCATCAATTGTAATTAGCAATTTTGAAGTGAAAAAAGATGCCAATGAAGCACAAGTACAAAAACGAAGCGTGAAACCCAAATGGAGAAGGCGCCGACCCAGGTGAATCCTGATCTCCAAATAAACAACTCAGGGCATGTGTGGAGATCTGTCTGGATACACCGAACGCGCCTCAGAATGTCACATATCTTTTCAGGTTTTGTCATGCTTTTGGTTCAACGATTGAAAGCTACATTGCCCTGTCGCCCCTAAAAAACCACTAGTGGTTGGTGGTTGACCTACCCCTCTGAAAAATATGAAAGTCAATTGGGATGATTATTCCCAATATATGGAAAAATAATGAAAAATAAAAAATGTTCGAAACCACCAACCAGCCATCATAAGCCCATTAAACCACCATTAAACCACCATTAAACCACCATCTCCATGCTATCCCATTCGCATCAGCGAAGGGTGCTGTCTCAAACCTCTCCCTGGATCTGGATCGGAGCTTTCCAAAGTAGGGGCTATCCCTTGATCGATCCTACAATGTGGGGCCCCCCAGTGATGTAACTTGGTTTATAAACCCCATGATATAACTCTAGTTTAATACGTACCATAAACCAGAGTGAAATTGGAGTTATGTGAACCCCAACTTGTTGCGATTTCGTGGCCACGGGGGCCCCACATCGGTTTCGGGGTAACGCCATGACTCAGGGAACCTCCAAGACGACTCGGAACGTTGCCTGCCAGTCGATATGAGGCTTGGTGTTGCGTACATCGGTGGCCGTGATGATGATACCGGTCTCCTGACGTCGAACGACGTGGCACTGAGCATGACCTGAATGGGGGCTACTAATGAGGTTTCTCAATGGGGTTGCTCAATGGGGATATGCTGGGGATATAAACATCATAGTCTGAAAGTATTGATGAAGGTCATGTTCATACCCATACTGATGGGTTTTAATAAACGTTCCCACGAACCAACCGTTTGAACGTCAATGGTTGCATCATCCCATTTCCAGGGGTATACAGGATACGTATACCCAATTTCATGCACACTGATTTAGGGATGGTTTCTTCTTGGGCTTAACACATTCAGGAAAATGACACCCTCCATCCAAATAATATGATGACCCTATCATCTGTGGGGGGTTCCAAGACTATTTTTTCCGTCAAATAGCCGATTAGAAAAGGGTCTGTGTTACTTGGGGTCATGGTGATGTCAGTTAAGACCTACAGAGAATCATGGGTTGATTCACCAAAAACGGGATACCCGGCCTCGCCAGTATTCCTGTACTACCAGTACTAGAGGTTGCTAGCTGAATTGTAAGTTCTGATAAAACAAAATATCAGGAACGATGATACCGTGGATGGAAGAAATCCTGCGCCTGATGCTGATGATGATGATGATGATGATTATGATGATTATGATGATGTCGATGTCCAACCACCGTTCCCCTGAGTTGATTCTGCATTGTGAAAAAACAGTGTGGTAAAAATAACCCTACTGCTTGATTGTTTCGATCTATCTTTGTTGGCCAGATTGAATTCTTATTGCTTAAAACATCTTAAAACCATGTTCAACCCAATGGTCTATTGGTGTTGAACAGTTTCACTTCGTGAAACCCAATGTTTGCTTCTGAAGACAGGTAAATCCCGCGTTTACATACCGAGAATCCACCTAATTGGATCATGTGTAGATCATTTCCAAGGGAACCAACCATGGAAAAATCAAGTTCTTTTGTAGTTTCTGATTTGAAATTTACACACCAATTCATGGTGAAATTCATTGTAAAATTCACAACAATTATGGTAGTTCTTTGGTAGTTTCATGGTGAATTTCCATTAAATCAACATAAATCAACATTTGTCTATAGCGGATAGCCCCCTGTTTTTACCTCTAGCCACAGCCCACGAAGCGACACGAAGCGCCTCAATCACGCCATCGAACATCACCTCCAAGATCTTCAGCGTTTGGGTCACCTTGGCAAGAAGACTTCCCACGGAGGAGAGTTGTTTTGGTTGTTTTATCTCATTTTATATCTAGTGTTGGTTAACTAACTAGTTGTTATATAAACTATGGTTTATATGTGTTATAATATGTATATATATATGTGTGGTTGGTGGTGCAATAACCATCTTGAAAAATATGAGTTCGTAAATGGGAAGGATGACATCCCACATGGAAAATAAACAATGTTTGAAACCACCAACCAGATATGGTTACCTTCTGGCAACAGATGGTTAATACATGTTGTTAACCCAACTAAATGATTATTGGTTAATACCCTCTGGTAAGCTAACATAGCTATGGAAATTCACCATTTTGAATAGGTAAATCAACTATAAATGGGCCATTTTCCATAGCTATCTTATATTACCGGAGAGTAGTATAATCCCGAATTCATATTGGTTAGTATAATCCCCGAACTAATAATTTCAGGTCCTGTTGGAGATATCTACCATATATAAGGCCTATGTTTTAGGGCTACGTAAGGGGATACTCCCCAAACAATCTGGCTTTATATGGTACTGTACCTCCATTTGAGGTTGCTGAAACGGCCATTGAAATAATCTGAGTCCACGTGAACTACTTCAAACTTGAGATGTTTCTTCCTTTAGTGTCCATGAAATGTTGGTTATTCCTTGATGTATATCTGTATATCCAACGCCACAAAAAAAGAAAACGTGGAGCCGGATAAAACGTGGAGCCCGTAATGCAAAAACTACCATTCATAGGATCGACAAGAGATTCTTAATCGCTTAAAAATGGAGATGTTTCCATTTATATACTCAGGATTACTCAGGTAATGGATAATCACTGCAGTTATACAATCAGAAACGATTTCTGCCTCTAAAAATGCGGATGTTCCAGCCGTATTAGATTACTGAGGGGTGCACCGCGTCCTGGCTCTCCCCCTGTCAGACATGTGTAGCCATAGCCAAGCACTTAGATCACCCAAGCACTTTGGAACTCAAAAACCATACTTACTCTACTTGATCGTTGTTCTTCTGAGCCCCAGAGAAATGACTGGAGTCCTTAGGGGCCAGCATCACCAGCATCACCATCATCATCATCATCATCATCATCAGCAGCATCATCATCATCATCATCATCATCATCATCATCATCATCTTTCCAAGTAGCATTGAAACTTGAAATATGTTCGCCCCAACCAGAACGCTGCACCATTTCCAACAAAAGATATCAGTAATGGAGCCAACATGGTCTGTCAGACCCGAAACTATGGTTTCGCGCGCAGCCTCAACATATAACTGTCGGTTTGAAAGAGGCAACGAAGGGCACATTAGGATAGACTATCAGGATAGACTGTTCCTTCAACAGCATTTCTTCTTACTGTGAGATCAAATGTGCCACCCCCTCGACGCATTGTCAATTTAACTATTTAACTCCAACTGTTGCTTCTATGGGATCGGATGCCCCACCCTCTTTGAACAGCAAGATACACTGTTCATTTCAAATATAACTGCAACTGTTGTTTTCATGGGATCAAATGCGCCAACCACTGTAAAAGGCAGGGAACGCAATACTGAGTCAGATACTGCTCGCAACGTCAGGGTTGGAGACTACAACAATGTTGTTTCAACAGGGGGAGGTTCCTAAAAAAATGGGGGGATCCCCGAGTCACGATCGGTTTCAATACTTAAATGGTCGAATTTAGGGCTTTCCGTAAATGGGCTATCCCCATTTAATGGATGGTTATAATGGAAAATCCATCTATAAATGGATGATTTAGGGATACCCTCGTTCAACCCCAACGGCGTTCTCGAACGGCATGCCAAGGAGCGATCCCTTCGCCGTGCACCGCGCAATAGGTCTCAAAGTCCTGGAATGGGCTGATGACTGAATGCGAAACTGGCTCTATTTGTCCATGGATTTTCCATGGATTTTCCATATAAGCCATCCATTAAAAGTTTGGGTGTACAAGGCCATATGGAAGTTGTCCTAAGATGGGGATTCCCAAGTCACCATGGGTTTCGGTACGAAAATGTTTGGTCCAGTTTTGGATACCTTCATTAATATGTACCCTCTGGTAAACTAACATAACTATGGAAAATTACCATTTTTAATGGGAAAATCCACTATAAATGGTCATTTTCAATAGCTATGTTAATTTACCAGAGGGTAATATGTATTCCGGTGATGTTCCGTGAAAATCACACAACTCAAAACTCAACTTTTCACAACGCTGAAAGAAGGTCCAATAGGTCCAATCTCAAAGAAGTCCCACCCCCACCACTTCTCGGGTGGTTCGTGGTTGTACAACACGTTGTACTCTTCCACGCAAGGGGAAAGTGGTGACCACAGGCCAGACAACATTGCGTGAGCCATCCATACTCTGCAAGACCACCTCTGTAGGTTCACCCCATAGTTGGGGTTGCTATCTAAGTCACAGGGCTGTGCTTCCGTGACAAGATCCAGTGGTTGAAAACCTTCGCATTCAGCTGTCTGAGTTTCCCACGTTTGGGGGCCGCACTTTGAAACAGCTTGGGCTGTATCAATTTGGAGATATAGCTGCAGTGGCCCACATATTGCCAGGAAAATGTGCAAAAGGGAGCGGTGGCATTCTTGAACCGCAGATGTTGCATGTGCTGGGCATCCGCCTACACTCCTCGGAAAGAGCACCGACTTCAAGGTATTCGCGCCATCCCTCTTGGGCGGGCCTGTCATGGTAGGATCCCTTGGCATGGAGGTACATAACCACCTTGGAGGTATGCGTACGATTGAAACTGCAATAAGACCAAAGCTCCTAAAGAGTCGGGTAGATGACGAAAACCGCCCTCTTTCACGATTTGCAGGTCGTCAACGTTGAAGGTCGACGGATCTGTTGCAACTCCAGTGGAAACAATCTGAAGGCGGTGATGTTGTGGGTCCAACTGCATAAGTTGTTGGCGGACGATCCTTGAAACTCTCGAGATCTTGATGAGTGAGTCGGCAACAACCAGGCCTGCAATCAACAAATTTTGTGCAAGCACTGCGCAATGAGAAATACGGAAATACGAATTGACATCAAGCCAAAGAGCACCAAAATGGCTACGGACAAACACTGAAACCAAAAACAAAAATCTTGGTAGAGCAATAGAAAACCATCCCTAAGTTTACCATAAACTATCAAAATATGGCTGTTTTATGACATCGTTTTACAAACATAAAGGCAAAATCCAGGTAGGTTCCATTCATATCCCACTACCAGAAGTATTCAAAAAGAGTATTTAAGATAACCATTAATAGTCCTACTCATGGAATAGTAGTGGGATACTCATGGATGGTGCCGTTATAATAAGTTATATAATTATTCATTATTGCTACTGTAGTATCAATTGTTGATGCTTATTCTCCACATAAGTTCTGCGATCACGAATCTGACATGTTTACCCCCATCAACTCTCAAAAATGATCGGAAGTGAGCCATGATTTTGGGCCGAAATCATCCCATGTCTTGCATGAAAACTGAAAACTTGTAGATTCTCCTGTGAAAATCCATGAATCTTGTTAGAAGTCCAGGCTTCTTGGAAATATACCACAGTAGCAGGTAGCACTCCTCATAGCAAATTCGTCCATCCGAATCTTCGTCGCACAGAGTGAAGAATTGCATGTACCTTCATGCAGAACGCTTGAAAGTTGGCTGGTGAATGCCATGATTTCCTGCAGATGCTTTCTCTTAAACTCAATCGAAAGAAGTATCTTTTTGCCAAGTCGGGTAACGCAGTTTCTGCCATTCTTCGCGCAGCAGATTCTCCATTTTCTGTGGATCTAGCAAGGGGAAACTTAGGAATATCACCTTCAACAAATCCAGGTGCCTAAGATTGAAGGTTCCTTGCAGGGAAAGAAGGTCGTTTCATGTTCAGCCATTGTGGATGCGCACTCATCGGGGGCTTCGGTTGTGCTCGTGGACACCTGGTGCTCGATTTCCGAGACAGCGCTGGTGGCTGTGGAGCGAAGCAAAATGGAAGCAAACTTAAGTGGTTTGTACTTAGATGTCCAATGAATATGAATTCGTAGACATACCGAGCTTCGTGGTAAACGAACCTTCCTAACAACTGCATGCCCTTGCCATTTTCACCACCAAACCCCAAGCGGATGGACAACCTTCGGGATGCACCTGAAGTAAGCCACAAGGTGTTCCTTACTTAGCTAAGTTGCTGTAGAACTAGACCAACTACGATCTATTTCACAGAATGATAGATACATAATGATAGATATCATGATGATGATATCATGATAGATATATTTATATATTTTCAATGATTGATCAACCAACAAAGATGTCACAGTTTGGGGGCCTGGAAAAATGGCCCATGCCCTGCCCCCTTTTTGTGGACCCAACCATGGTGCTCGTCTGCCATGAAGGGCGCCTGGTCCACTGCCGCACATTGGATTCCCAGAGGGTATACCCTCTGGTACACATACAAAAAACGATGGAAAATCACCATGTTCAATGGGTAAATCAACCATAAATGGGCCATGTTCATCCAGTTTCAAGTTCGCAAACGATTACAGTAGTCATTACCAGAGGCTAATCTGATATTTACCTAGCTCTTTAAATCAACGAACTAGATTGCCATGTTCAAGTTCGCAAAGTGTAAGGGAAAACCAGGCCGGGTATCAGGGGGATATCATGAGGAAATCAGCAATCCCGCCCCGCCCATCCCTGTCACATGTGATTTCATACATTCCACCGTGCTTCTGAGGGAATGTAAAACATTAATATTGATGGGGGAGGGATTAATCATGATACCTTAAAGGTATACACAATATAAATACATGTTTATGTATATATATATGTATGATTATATCATGAACCACTAATATTCTTTGGTGAACCCGGTATGATTTATATATTCTTGACCCCAAATGGTAACTTTTGTATGGCATGGTATCGCTGGTTGTTGGCCCACCTTCGAATTCCAAGGTCACTGGTCAGAGTCAAAGTCTGTCAATGGAGGAGTCAACCAACCTCCCAAAAGGAGTTACCTATCTAAGATGGTTGAGAAGTTGAGAAGCCCTAGACAACCTCTTAATAAAATTTAATACATAATAGCCATATATTCCTAGAACCCCAAGTTTTTCATAGCAAACAAAAACTATTTTCGCTACCATTATCTGGAGGTTTCCATAAATGGGGGTACCCCTAAAATCATCCATAGATGGATTTTCCATTTTTAGCCATCCAGCTCTTCAGGATGGGGCCCCCAGTGATGGCTATGTGGGTTTATAAACCATTATAGCCCCTATTGACTATAGTTATATCTACCATAAAGCCACTTATAAGGCAACGTAGCTATCTTCGGGGCCCCATCCTATTGGGGTAGCCCTATTTTTTAGGAAACCTCCATCTGATGCTGCGAAAGCCTGGCCTCAACACCGCAATTTTGGTCTCCAAAATGCAGCGAAAGTCTGCCTGACGACCAAGTTTCCGCGTGCCACCACGGTAAGGGTCCCTGGGAGGGTCAATTGTTGCCCTCTGGTAATGACTAACAGTTCGCCATAAGCCAATAATAATGGTTAATATTGGTTAATAATGGTTTTTTGATGGATGACTAATGATGATTAATGTAATTACCATCTGGTAATGACTAACAGTTTGCGAACTTGAAGATGGCCCATTTAGTTCGTAGATATCTCCAACAGTACCTGAAATGATTGGTTCGGGGATTATACTACCCTCTGGTAATTTAACATAGCTATTGAAAATGGCCCGTTTAGTTTGTTGATTTACCGTTTTTAAAGATGGCGATTTTCCAGTTCGCAAACTGTTACGTTACCAGAGGGTACACCACGCGAACTGTAAAATCCCCATGGATAGATGGCTTCCAGTTCGCCAACTTTGAGTCATTGAGGGTATAACCAGAAGGAACCAACTGAGCAGTGTTCAAAACCGTCGTTTCATACTGGTTTAAGAACGGGATTTCCATGGATTTCCCGTTCATGATCATCCCCTGTTATTGCTTGGTATCCAACAGAAATCATCCAGAGAATCGTTTTGCCACTGCTCAACTGGAAACCAAGCGAATCGGGGCACCCACGACATCCAAGTTCAAAAGACCATGGATTTTCCAGTAGAATTACCATGAATTACCCTCTGGTAATTTAACATAGCTATCGAAAATGGCCCATTTATAGGTGATTTACCTACTATAGATGGTGATTTTCCATAGCTATGTTAAATTACCAGAGGGTACCCATCTTCCCTGGTGAAAAACCAACTCGTCGCAAAGTCTTCCGTTGCACTCTCCAACTCTGATTCATTCGGCTATATGTTGGGATGATGTCCTCAATTTACAAGCATTTACTGACCATATCTCTACCTTACCTGCTGGCAAAATCTTGTTCGCCCAAGTAACATTGGGACAAAGAATGATAGAAAAATCAACTTTGCTATGTACATATATGTTGACAAAATATAACACTTCACCAACCGGAAAAGTTCGTCCATTTGAAGATGATTCCAGTTACATTCACCATCATTCAAAGTGGCGGAAAACGACGTGAGGTCCTTGCAAGTTCTCCAGATAAAATCGAATGATTCCCCTTCTTAACCATAGATCATCTACATAGATATGCTTAGACTTATAGTTATACTATGTTTTACTCATAGTTAACCAATATATAGTATTACCCTCTGGTTATTTAACATAGCCATGGAAAAATCCACGATTTTAAATAGGTAAACCTTCTATTTCTATGGACCATGGCTTAACCATGGCTATGTTAGTCATAACCAGAGGGTATAGTGTTTTCTAGATTCATACCCTCTGGTTATTTAACATAGCCATGGAAAATCCCTTATAAATGGAGGTTATGTAACAAATACCCAGAGGGTAGTTTTCTAAACCACAAACCACTGGCCATCCACCTGGCCATCGCCATCGCCATCGGCCTTCTCGGCAAAGCCGTCCTGGTTCGAGTCGAAGAGCCGGAAGCAAAGTCTTCGCTTGCCCTGGCGGAAAGGACCGGGGGGTTCTGGGGGTCTGGGGGTCTGGTGACATGGTGAAAAAAACAAGCTGTATACCATATGTAGATGGTTGATGTGGGTGATAAACCATAGTTGATAATAGTTGGTAGTAGTGAACATGACTCCAATAACTGTTGGGTTTAGTATGTATATCGAACGAGTTTTTTTTACAGGGTACTTGCAACCAACAAACAGTTCACTAGGAGGTGTCACCTTGCATGGAGCGGTCCGATTGGGGTTGGCGCTGGTTGCCAGCGATGTTCTTTAAGTGCTTGGGGATGGTTTATGACATTGGTAAAACACCTTAAAACATCTTATTATCTTATCTTATAACTGTTATCTGTATATGGGCTGGCTATGTATATGTACATATTATATCATATTATATCATATCATATTATATCATATCATATCATATCATATTATATTATATATCATACATATATCATACATATATCATACATATGTATATATATTATATATCCCCAGTTTTATGGGTTGTATTCTATTGGCTGCTCGCCACTTACCAACTGGGATGCACATCATATGCGATACCTCCATCATATGGTCCCAAAATGTGTAAATCCCCAAGGTGAACCATGGCTTTTTTGTGTAATATATATATATATATGTATATATATATGGGCAAATTATAAAAAATCACTAACCTGAATTAAGGCCATTTGGGGATGATTTCCCTTACTAACCATTATTCCCAGTGAGGTCGCAGTGAGGTCGTTATAATTTACCCAGATATATATATATATATATCAGGGTTTTCTGGATTTACTAATCCCATGATCCTAATATAAAAAATTGCAGATCTTTTTTGGACCTTGGAAGAATCAACCATGGATGTCGTGATCCGAATCGACCAAGGAGCCAAACCCTAATCTTCCGCTGGCACCTCTGCACCGCCGCGCTTCAACTGTGTGACAAACGTCAGGAATTCCTCCAGAAAAGAGCAACTGGAACTGTAAAGGGTGGTGTCGCAGTGACCCATGTTTCATCCATTTTTCATATACCCTCTGGTTTTTTTGTTGACGGCTTGCGAAGTGGAAAATCATCCCTTTTAAAACCGGTAAATGGACCATGGCTTCGTTAGCTGTAACCAGAGGCTGAGGACGCTTCAACCTCCAAGGCAGCGATCTTTGGTTAGGGAAACATGGAAAAAGTCAGCAGTTTCTTTGGCTGCCAATCCAGGTACCCTCTGGTAAACTAACATAACTATAGAAAATCACCATTTTTAGTGGGAAAATCCACTATAAATGGGGTATTTTCTACAGCTATGTTAGTTTACCAGAGGGTAAGTTTGTGGCTACGAAAGTGATGAAACTTTGGATTCCATCAAAATGGACCTTGGAAGACCAGATCCATCATCTATCATCGATCACCATTGTTGTCCTCTTGTTAAAATCCATCATGCAACATATATGTGCCACTGTCAAAACTCCTTATATTGTATGTGGTCATCAGTCCCATACTGGAAATCCTTGCAATGGGTCAATGGATAAAAAAACCCTCTGGTGATTTAGCGTAGCTATTGAAAATGGCCCATTTATAGTTGATTTACCGTTTTTAAAGATGGTGAATTCCATAGCTATGTTAGTTTACCAGAGGGTATATATAAATAAATCCCTATGAAAATGGACTGATGACCATCACTCAATATGGCTATCTCTTGTCCAAGTTTGGACCCCGTCTGGCGTTGTTTATAATCTATCACCAAGGGTCTACCATACAGAAATTTCATATTTTTGGTGCTTATATCCCTACTGATAAGGAAAATATCCCATTCTAGTCGTCAGAGGGCAACTACTCAATAACCATCAAGAAGCATCTTAGTGTACCGCTCAACTCCCAAATCTGCCTGAACGAATCCCTACATTGGATCTCTTTGGATATCCAAGTGTCACCCACAATCATATGTCACTCCGAAATTTCCAGACAAACCCATGAACTCATTGCATTAATCAATTCATCTGGGCAAAGGATAATAATTCACTCACCTGAAACAAGGCTTTATATCATGCCGTGTTGGAAGAATTCCCCCAATCATCCCATGTCTATGGTTGAAAAACCATAAATTGTCCCCAAAAAAAGGATGCCGAAAGTTGACATCTGACAAAAAAAATATGGTAAATTAATATAGCTCTTCTATCATTCAACTCGGGAAATTTACTATATCATATGTTTACCCTCTGGTAATTTAACGTAACTATGGAAAATCACCATTTTTTATGGGAAAACTCACTATAAATGGCCATTTTCCATAGCTATGTTAGTCATTACCAGAGGGTAAACCCCAACCATCAAGCCTCAAAGTCAATCACGTTGTCGCCGTTGAGATCGATCGCTGAGAAGAGCGTTCGCCACATCGGCTGGGCACGAAAAAACCCGGGAGGATTTGGGGACAACAAAAAAAATGGGCGAAACATGGGAGGATTTTGCACTTAAAGGAAAAAAAATATCCAGAAAACTAGAGTGGGAAAACTGTGGAAAAAATATCCGGAAGAATCACGAAATGCGATTTAAAAACCTGGGACAACTTGGAAAATTCATCCAATGAAAGCAATGGAAATCGACAAGAGTAAGGGTTTTTGACCGACAAAAATGGGGATGTACAATTTGATGTAATGTGGTAAACCCAATAATAAATCATCCCCAGTATCACCATAAATGGGTGGTAAGTGCCATCCTCAAATGGTAGGTTTATGGCATTGGGTTTACCGGTTTACCACATCAATGGAACTTAGTTGAGGAGCAAAAGCACATTGGACAAGTTTCCTTCTTTGCCAGTCTCACCCCACTTGAAACATAAAAGAAACCCGGGGCTTCGAGAGTTGCAAGTCCTTCAGGGGAAGGAGTTAAGACAACAGCTGGAAAAGACTCCGGTTTGTCTTAAGATAGGGGACAGGCCAGGATAGACCATTTAACCATTTGGATTTTTCTCAAAAAATGTGAGTTCTGGGAGTTTTCAAGGGGTTAAGATTTTGAGGCAGTTGCCTCCCCCAGCTCTACTAAGCTCCAGAAATGAGGCCCAAAATCCACCACCACACCTTGTATTGCCTGTGATTCGAGAAGAGGGAGTGAAACTGATTCCTGGCAAGGACATGTGTCAAGTTATAGACCTGCCATCGGTGAAATCTGCCACGAAATCTGCAACGAAGAACTCTAAAATTGAAATGAATAGCCTCCGGTAGTCCATAGCAATTGGACTCCCCAGTGAGATGTGGTCAATTTGAAAATCATTGAACAATTGAATGGATCTATACAGATTTTCCAGCAAGGTATGTTTGATGTCCCCGCCTGTCAAGAGGACAAGAAGTCAAGGTGGTTGTGTGAAGACACAAGTAAAAGTACACCTGGCCGTAGAAAAACTGCAGCTGAGTTGCTTATAAACCCATTGAGTGTATATATATATGTATATATGTTATATAATGTTATGTGTATATTATATTATATATATGTACATTATATATATATATTCCCCATAAACCATAGAATTTACCACGTGATGTTAGCGTCAACATCTCGCGAGTTCGTTTTTGGCAACGTGGAACGACTGCATCGGATGTGGGCCACTGACAGGTCGACATGGGCTGCTGAAATTTCATGGGGATCAAAGTGGTTTTTGGGGAAGTTGACACCGGAAACCCCAACCAATTCCTATATACAAATGCCATAAACCACCCATTTGGGAATGGTTTATAGAACCTATTTATGGTGATTTGAGGGATGGTTTATTAGTGTATCAAAGAATGGGATGTTACCATCTGGTAATTTAACAGCTTGCTATTGAAAATGGCCAATTTATAGTTGATTTATGTTGATTTACCTGCCAAAGATGGTGATTTTCCAGTTCGCTATGTAAACGTTTACCAAAGGGTATTTGATGGGAAAAACCTGGCATCAGTTTCAGGTGACGATTTTCAGAAAACGACCACCAATCCAGTGACTGATGCGACCACCCATTGCCGGTACCTGCTTGAGGTTGTACAGTTCCTGCGCCGCAACCGCCCCACAATATTCGTGCGTTGGGAAACGATGAAACGAAGCATTATGGTCTCCAAAAAATGGAAGAACATGGTGACAAACCATAAAATGCGGGGGCGCGCCCTTTCTTTCAAACTCTCATACTGTAGCTACCAAACCAGGGTTTGGCAAAAATGGCTGTGATACCTTCAAAACAGGGCAGTGGAAATTGTCATAATAATAGCCACTAAAAGCAATAACAAGGAATAGTAGTAAAAGTAAGAACAGCAGTGCTGTTCAAGTATCCTCTGGTAAACGTTTACATAACCATGGAAAACCACCATTTGCTATCCCATAGGATCCATGTATGGTATATATGCTAACATTGGGGGTATATTGATGGTAAATGTTACCATATATAGCATACATGGATCCTATGGGTATGGTTAAATCCACTATTTCGACTGGGCCATGTTCAATATGTTATGTTAGTCATTACCAGATGGGATCCCCAGACGATCGCTAAGTCGGTGAACATACCTTGCTTAACGTTTTGGATTTATGATAAATAATGGATACAATAGAAACTATAGTAAATCCCTATATAACATTATATAACTGGTTATTTATGATGTTTATAATATTTATTATACATTTATAGTACTATAGTTACATCCCACATATAACTATCGATAGAAATTCGATGGCTTTATGGGGGATGCAGCCCGCAGGTAGGGATGGTGAAGTCATAGAGTAAGTGACTTCACCAAACCTGCGTCGTCTTCCGGACCATAGCTTGCTGATTCTAGGATTTATGATAAGTACTGATATATATATATATATATCATGTATCACTATATATCTATAGCAATTAGCAACCCAAAAAAAGATAGAAAAATGTTTCCGGGATTGTATAAATGATCATGTTCCCCGGCTAAGTATAAACCAACATAGCCGCCCAGGCTGCCGTCCTTCTGGCTGAAGGCACCCTGGGGTGCTGCCTGAAATCAACCCAGAAAACGGCAGATGTTGGTCCATTATGAAGCATAAAATTCTTGGATTGGGGGACTCAATTTCAAGCCATACCCATATATCTAACAATCATCTTACATATCTACTGTAAAATATCCAAAATATCGCTAAAAATCTAAAATCTCGACATGATTCGACATGTAGATCCATTTTTATGGATGATTTATATAGAATGCGCCGATCTCTCTTAGCGCTGACCTTGCCATGAAAACGGCAAACGGCTGGCTTAGCGTTGGATTTCCACGGATGATCATCAGTCGCAGTTTTCGACCAACGCCACTGCTCTACGTAGACGCGTAGACCCAACAAATGCGAAAATCGGATAGACAAAAAGTGCCAAAAATACCTGGAATCATCTGGAATCCAAAAGTCGAAAAAGTCGTGTCGGAACAAGGGGTCCACCCTCTTTCTTAAGGATCCATCAATGCACAAGAAATAACAACAGACATTCCATCAGATACCCTCGGACCAATTCTGTATCTGATGGTAGAATCAAAGATAATTCCTTATAAAACCAATTCTTGAACCAAATCTGGCCTATCCCATTGAAAAAAAGAACGTTATCATATTCACCACCAAAAACCAACAAAATACCCACCAAAGAGCCAAAGACCCACCAAAATACGTCCAAAAAAAAACATCAAAAGCCGCAAAAACTTGGAATTGCTTGAGGGTTTTATCATGGGTCATTAAATGTCCCCATTGAACATCACCCAACCATTAGGTATATGGTCAATGCCATGGCTACTTTTTCAGGTGATGTCCAATATACCCAAAATGGGACAGTTACGAACCCCTGTTTTTCGAGATTCCACAAATGGTGGATGTTCCATTGGGCAAAACCGCAAAACCCACCAGCACCTGTCCGGCCAGGGACTGGTGGACTCCCATTGAATCAAATGCCTCGGGAATCATTGCTACAAATCATGGATCATTTGCATGAAATTTAATGGTTTATAACTATATATATATATAGTATATAACGAGGACAGATTTAATGGTATGTATATGGTATTCTTGAATTGATCATCCAAATTCAATGATATGGAATCGATCATCTTTAAAGATATTGTTTTTTTAAATTGATGATATGGATCCATATCATCCATCTCCTGAACGGATCCGGCCCGAATTTGACGACCCCTCGGAACAATCACCCGTCCCAAAAATAGGTATAATCATAATTATATATGTGTGTAAAGATAGGACAAGATAGGTCTATAATTATATAAGGTATGTATGTAATGTAATGTAATCTAATCTAATGTAATGTAATGTAAGTATGTAAGTATGTAATGTATGTAATGTATGTAATGTATGTATGTAATGTATGTAATGTATGTATGTAATATATGTAATGTATGTATGTAATATATGTAATGTATGTATGTAATATATGTAATGTATGTATGTAATATATGTAACGTAATGTAATGTAATGTAATGTAATGTAATGTAATGTAATGTAATGGTATGGTATGGTATGGTATGGTATGTATGTATGTATGTATGGGTATATTATATATAGAGGCTAAACAAACTATATCAAAATGATGAAACGACCAGGGAAAGGTTGCTCTTTGTGATGCTCATCGTTCAGGCCCCCGCCGCACCAGTGGCAGCTCCAACGGATGGAATCAGAGATTTGGTGGCTGTATGGCGTTTTGATGCGCTCGTGAAAAGCCTTTTTTGTATCTTGGGGAAGATCGGAAGCTCTTTCCTTAGCCAAATTTGCAATCATTCAGACGCATTGACCAAAAAAAATGATGGTAATTATTGGATTTCAAGGGCGAGTTGTTGATATCTTTAGCATGGCAACAGTGTAGACCAGTGCCCCAAAGGGCGGTGATACGTCTGAGCTGGATCATGGCGTCGTGGCGTCGGGATGATAAAATGTGCAGAACCCTGCCCTAAGTCGTAGCTCGTGGATGGTGATTCAACCCCAAATATGGTACCATCTGGTTATTCAACATAGCCATGGAAAATCCCTTATAAATGGAGGTTTTAATGGGAAAATCATCTATAAATGGGCCATTTTCCATGGCTATGTTAAATAACCAGAGGGTAATTTCATAGGTTTTGACCCATCATTAACTGCTTGGTGGTTGACCTACCCCTCTGAAAAATGATGGAGTGAGTTCGTCAGTTGGGATGATGACATTCCCAACATACGGATAGTCATAAAATTCCATGGTTCCAACCCACGAATCAGCATAGCTTTTGACCCATCAAGTGGGATGATCTTCAAACATTGTAGAGGCAAACAAATGGTAAGGGAACGTTAGGTAACGTTAGGTGGAGACTACTGGAATTATTGGGTTTCACAAAACCTTGAGGAATTGGCGCCCATTTTTCCACAACCACCGCGCGTTGCGTCACGCGGGACTGAACGTCCGATGGGGGGTCGCTGCATTTTGGTGCCTGCTTGCGGAATGACGCGTATCTTTTGGCTCAAAAAAGATGGGTCTGTTCAAAAGAAATACTGAAATGGTTTGAAAGTTGGTTCGCATGTATTCAACTTTCGTGTTTTCTATTCGAGACCTGTGGGTACCTTAACCCCGAAACCATATGAAAACATCGTATGGTTGATTGTGTTTTTCCAGGTAAGCGAGTGACGGCCTCATCGACAGTAACCACATGTAACCACTATTGTGTGTGTGGATGACATGTGCACTATTCTGGGTGAAACCATAGTTCGTGCATTCATGATAAATGGCAGTGTGTCAAAACCTTGTACCCCTGGTGAACATCAAAATAGCTGGTAAATGGATGTTCATCCCACTAAAAATGTATCTATAGGTATTGACCCATACCCAAATCTCAAACATGCCTTAAGGCCTATTCTGGTTGAGAATAAAAGATGATGTTCTGAGGTCGCTGTGGTGTTTTAGCCTGCGACAAGAAAAAGTGGATGACACCATGAATAGGGCAGTACTCAATGGTGATTCTTATGTCGTGCCTATATCACGACGAAAATAGTGTTACTAACTGTTACTAACTCAAGAATGAATCCACCATTAATCAACCTATTGCTGTGTGGAACCATGAGTTAGTACGGTCATACCCACCTTCATCGGGATTTAATGGGTGGCTTCCACAGCTATGCCTCTTTGCTGGCGGATTGGAAAATCGAGAGGAAAATCCATGTTTTTTCCTAGTATAAACAGGTATCAAAATGACATGAATAGATATGGCATATGGATTTCCTGCAGATTTCTCCCTTCAAAGTCGAAATCCGTTTGGATGTGGTCCTCCGCACGCTGCGCGTAGAAACAGATGTCACGGCTGTCAGAGCAACTATCAACTGCTACCCTAAGATAGAAATACATGCGCTGGGGTCAAAATTCTCAAACTCCGAAACTGCGAATCTGTCTGTGATTTCCAGCCAATCTGATTGTGATTTCTACTGATTTCTGGTATTTTTGTCAGCTGATTTCTATTGATTTATAACTGGTTGGTGGTTTCAACCATCTTGAAAAATGATGGAGGGCGTCAATGGGTTTCGGAAGGATTATCCCATATATGAAATGGAAAATAATCCAGCCATGTTCCAAACCACCAACCAGAAATTCATATGGTGTTTTCCCCATGATGTTTTGACCCAAACCCCACAGGTTCATCCCTTGGAGGATGATCCCGCAGCTCATTTCCTGCCGGGGTGAGACGTCGCCCATGATGGACACACCAGTAACGGGAGGAGCGCAACATTCGGTGATCAAACAAGTCGATTTTTCGGGATGAGAAAATGGTGGGACACAACTTCCCACAAGAAAACTAGATCGATTCTACTTGATTCTACTTGGGGCTGTGTCAGACTTAGAAAGTGAAGAATAACATGTCATAACCATCCCCATATGCTCCATGGTGCTGGAAGATTTACCAACATTTCCCTTAAATATCACCCAAATGTAGGTAAATGTATGGAGCATATGGGATCTATACCAAGTCAACCCAAGTCTGGCAAGTCTGACTCATACCCAACTTTGTGCGAACTGGGCGCAAACGTTGAGGCTGCGAAGTGGATCACGAAACACATCGTTTCAGCCTTGTTCTACCAGATGTTGGAAGCCCTGAAAAATCGGAATCTGAGGAGCTACCCGGCCTGGTAAACCTACAAAAAGCTATGGAAAATCACCATGATTCATAGGTAAATCAACCAACTAAATGGGCCATATTCAAGTTCGCTACGTATGTTAGTCACTACCAGAGGCTAACCCCCCAAAAATCATCCGTTCAACCCATGGGTCTTTACAGGTCAGAGTCAGGATCAAAACCAACAAGATTTTTTGTGGGTAAAACCATGCCATAAACCACCCATGACTAGAAATGGTAAACATACCACCTGTAAACATGGTGATTTGGGGATAGTTTACTATTGCTTTACCCTCATAATCTCTCATATATACATATATATAATATATATCCCATAGTATATATAATGTGAAACCAAAAAAAATGCAGAACACAACGGTTTGGACGATTCACCGTTTATCCATAAATTGCTTCACCTTACGTGCCAACTCCGTGCAGGGTGGGGACCCCTTTTTGTGCGGAAACGGCCAGACATGGCGCTGGATGGGATGTTTCTGGCTGTTGACACCGCAGATTGGATGGGAAATTTCAGAAAATCACTGGAAAATGGATGAAGATGGATGAAGATGGTACAGAGTCCGAAGCAAAAGAAACGCTTTGCCGGAAGTCCGTCATGTCTGGGTCCTTGAATCTTCATTTGTCACCTGATGTCGGGTTTTTGCACAGCCGAAAAGCTCTTCGTTAAGTCGCCCAAACCAGACCATGTCGATTCAAATGCATTGGCATCACTGCTCTCCGGCGGGAATTTCACCAACGCAGACCTTGAAGGCAGGCTGGCTAAGAGTCTTCTGGTCAATTCTGGTTACCCTTGGGCAATCAAACTTGGCAATGGGGAGTCCCTTGTAAATGGAGGTTCTAATTGGAAAAGAACCTATAAATGGATATACCATCTGGTTATTTAACATAGCTATGGAAAATCCGCTATAAATGGATGTTTGAATGGGAACATCATCTGTAAATGGGCAATTTTCAATAGCTATGTTAGTCATTACCAGAGGGTAAATGGCGGATTTCCCATTGCCATGTTAGTCATTACACTGGAGGGTGTGGTATAGCCGCGCTATTCAGCTTCACTATCGGAGACAACTGGTCGACCACTAGGTTTATCCCACAATGGGCATGGTAAAGCAACGAAAACGTTGACAAGTTTGGGAAGCTACATGGATACCCTCTGGTAAACATACAAAAAACTATGGAAAGATCCACCATTTTTCATGGGAAAACTCACGAACTAAATAGCCATTTTCAATAGGTAAATCCACTAAATCACCATTTTTAATGGGAAAATCCACTATAAATAGCCATTTTCAATAGCTATTTTGACATAACCAGTCCGGGTAACTGGGGGGATTTTCCAGCTTCAGAACCATGGTTCTGACTGGGTCGCACCTGTTTTCATCGAATCTCCAAATCATCTTCTCCGATCAGGAAAAATTCTATCCCATCAAAATCTCTCCATCCCACACCTCTCCCCTTCCGCACCTCAGTTCTCCATCTGCGCCAGAGTGGCGGTAAAGCCCCGCTGCTCGGTCTTCTGCACCATCCTGTGAATCCTCTCGCGCACCTGAACCTGGCGCTGGAGGGACCTGGGGGAACCCCCGTGGTTGCGATGTGGCCAAAATCACCGGGGGGTTGACGTCAAAAGATGTCAAAAGCAATGTAGGATCATCTAGGCATAGAGATAATTATATATAATCTTCAAAACTATATGAGAGATGATGAGAGTCGAGAATCTGCATCCCTCACCATCTGAAGATGCCAACTACAGCTAAATGATGTAAATGTACCTTTTCCCATGTGTTCTGTCGAAATTCTGCGTTTATGTCATCCCCCATCGTCATCTATTTAAGATGGCTGTGCAGGTCAACGATGGAGTATTGTCATCCTGCCATCATGGGATTCCTAACAGAATGGCAAAACGGCAGAACCATGCAAAACCCCAATGATCTATGATCATCCATGACCATCCCCCCCGAAAAAAGGCGATTGAACCAAGTTGAGGTCATGAACCTGCCCCAAAAAACAGGCGAAGTGAATCAAACACAAACATATTAGGGATCAAAAAAATTTAGTGATTCCAAATTCCAATACACCAGCTATCACCAGCTACTTGGATTATCATCCCCAGCTACTTGGATTCTCACCTTGTACCCTCTGGTAAACTAACATGACTATGGAAAGATCCACCATTTTTGATGGGAAAATCCACTATAAATCGCCCTTTTCAATAGGTAAATCCACTAAATCACCATGTTCAATGGGAAAATCCACTATTTCTATGGTCATTTTCAATAGCTACGTTAGTCATTACCAGGCCGGGTACTCAATCACCAACCGTTGGAATCGACGACGTCATCCCCCCAAAAAGGGCCAGCCTCGCCTGTTCTTCGAGGCTCGGTTTCAGCAGCGTATCTTCAATCCACTTATCCATCCAGATGTTGGCGTTGTCCTCGGAACCCAAAACTTTAAGGCTGGTTGGTTTGGGGGAAAATCTACAGAAAAATAAAGAAATAGTCATCCCCAAATAGATGGAAAAGTAAATCACCATCAAATTAGTAGGGATTTACTTTTCCATCTATTTGGGGATGACTATATAATTATATATATATTATTATGTATAAAGTTTTCTTCAGATTTTCCACCAATAAGATTTTTTAAGATGGTTTAGCGCAAAAAAAAATACAGTTTTTTTCAGCAATCCTTTTTAGCCAAGTATGGAGGTGTCCTCTGGATTTTCCTTCTATGTTTTTTTCCATGTCTTGACATAGACATAGCCTTACTCTGCCTCCAAAATGTTGGGTGTCCTGTAAATCTTCGTTGAAACCAAGCAGGATATGGGTGAGAAACAACTTTCCCAGCGTTGCTGAGTGTCGAAGATCAAACATGTGAAAAACTGAAAAAGTTGGAAAAAAATAGCAGTTTAACTTCCACTCAAGAACACATTGACATGGGTATGGATCAATAGCTATTAATACCATTTTTAGTGGGTTATTCACATCCATTTACCAGCTATTTTGATGTGAACTACAGGGGTACTATTGGTTTTGACACACTGCCACATCTGTTGAGTTGTTCCTTATCTTTGGAGCCAAAAATATGCTCCACAACGCCCCAACAAACCTGGGCCCCAGGCGATGATCATCTGATTGGTGAACCACACCGGAGGCAGCACTCGGGCCTGGGCAGTGTCAACAACTCAGCCATCCGAAATATCCGTGTATGTATGAGTGTCTATTACTATGTGTATGTATAGATATATAATGATATATATATATATAAGTAAAATGTGGCATCATCGTCGTCGTCGTCGTCGTCTTCTTCTTCTTCTTCTTCGTCATTCTACTTTTTTCCCCGTTGAAACATCTTGAACCTTCGAAAAATCTCTCTGACACCACTCACCACACTCCTGGGGTCTCTGCCATCGCTAGGGCGAGGGGGGCCACCACGAACTCGATAAATCCAATCTGCGCCGCGGCACAGCAGAACCGGTTCTCTGTCCCTTGTGATTTTTGCTGGGGGAAAGTACCCTCTGGTAAACGTTTACATAACCATGGAAAGATCCACCATTTTATAGATGGGTAAATCCACTATTTCTATGACCATGTTCAAGTTCGCAAACTGTTAGTTTACTGGAGGGTAGATTTTGTTTACCCTCCGGTGTCATCAAACATGGCTGGAACATCCCGGGAACCCTGCATGGAGGCTTAGTTCGCTGGGAAATGGATCTGTAAATGCTGGGATTTTCCATTGCCATGCCTAAGAAATACCAGAGGGTGGATGGAAGCCTCAGAAATGGATCACACTCAGCGGACAAGTTTTTAAGATCTTTAAAACGATTGAATGGGATTCGGAAATTCCAATCACCATTTTTCAACCTTGAGATCCTGAAAATTGAAAATGGCCATAGAAATAGTGGATTTACCCATTAAACATGGTGATTTTCCATAGTTGTTTCTATGGTTTGAAAAATATGTGCACAGCCCATCCCGTCCATCGTCTCTGCCTGTGACAGTGGCAGACTCACCGTCTTCTTGTCGTTCAGCGGCCCCACGGGAATCCCAAGTGCCTACGACATCCCATCCCCATGGCGAAACGTTTTCCAAGATGAACCCCGTTCGAAAGGGGATAGGGTCAGTCCTAAACTTCATTTTCTGGGGTCAGTCGATGTCAGAATGAAGGGGTTAGTAGCTGGTCAAAGACTGCAACGGGATTCTTTTTGTTTAGGATGAAAACAATGTATATTAATGTCATTTCCAGGTTGATGGGTGTGACTGCCATGGGCTATACCTCCCATTCATGGCCACTTTGATGGGACAATGATGCTGAACCAATGGTTGGAATGGGCTTTTCCCATAGTACAAAGTGACAAAGCCATAACCATCATGGAAAACCTACGGCGACCATTTCACCTCCACTTTCCCGTTTCAAAAAAAAAAAAGCTACCAGAAAACACCTCCAGTCTCGCATCATCTCATGTTTGATCATCCTGAAAGCCTCCAGCAGACTTAGCCCTTCGCAACCCGAGTCGCCCACCTTCTCTTCCTCTCCCTGCAGTGCGAACTCTTTGAGAACCAGCTCGGCCCAGCGTTCGGCCACCGGGAAAGGCCTGTAGCCATCCGACATCGCTATGGTGGGGATGTAGCTGTGGATATAGCCATGGTTGGGATGATTGCTGACCAAAGATGAACGAAAAAAAACTTGAAAAAAACAAGAATCCATCCATAATCCATCACCCCAACATCCCACTATGCCATACTATGCCATCATTTTTTGATGAAATCATCCCATCTTTCTGATTCCTATCCCCAAAAATCTCAACCTCTTGAGATTTCCAGCAACGCCATCGACCTCGAAGGTCCGGTCCTAAGGTCGTCACTTCATGGGATTGGAGATGTCCGCGAAATGCAGGAGCACCGTCCTGGCGAAAAATGATGGCTGGTGAAGTGCTGAAAGTTTCTGTGACTAGATTCCAGACTCGATCCGCTGAGATTCGATTTAGATTCGATTTAGATTTAGATTGGATTAGATTGGATGCAGATTTAAGTGAGATTAGATTATATAGATACGCAAATAGATATACTGCATATACTGCATATAGCATGAAAATCAGGGAATCATCTTCAAACTTCTACTTATCCACTGTTGATCTTCAACATTCAAAAAGACAAACAAAAAAGTGCGCCATTCACCACAGCCCTTGTTCCAAGGCCCCATTCCGAACGGTCCTGAGTGTCTTTTTCACATCTGGGGTTTTGAAGTACTCCATGAGTTCACGCGGAGGAAATTCCTCTGTATTCATGTACCTGAGCAGCTGAGGAAAGTTGGGTTCCAGGTCACCCAAAAATGGCTGACCAACCAAACTTTAAAGTCCAAAAGACCCACCAAACTGTTGGGAGGTTAGGTTTTAGGTAGTCTTTTGGTAGTCTTTCTGGGCAAAATCGCAGCCATGTCTCACCCATAGCGACTGGAGAAGTTCTGGGCTCCAAACATTTCATCTGCGGTGTCAAAGAGCTCCGCATTCACACCATACATTGACTCAAACTCCTCAAGTAATCTGAAGCTGTGACTTGAAGGGTGGGGGGTCCAAAATGGCCACTTCTGTGTGTGTGTGCTTTTAGTGAACTGCTTTGGGAGAATGACTACCACGGGCCACCAAAAACCATGGCAAGAGAAGGTGTTGATCCAAAAAAATTGTGGCTCCAACGTGCTCGAACTCTCTAAGATAGTTGAGCAGCCACAACCTACGAACAAACCATGGCTTGTCCCAAACAGCCGGCCCTTCCCTCGCCTTGACCATGCCGCCGTGTTGCTGGCAAACGGGAAAAATTGGAGGGCACCGTGGGACGACGGGGGGGAGTTTTCTCCTAAAGGATTGGTGATCTTAGATCCCAAGAATATGGTTTCAACAGTTGATAGTCATCATCCCAAAAGTTTGGGGGTCATAGCTGGCAAGGAAACATCTTTCACAGATTTCACGAGTTTGACGTGCTGGGAGAACATGTCACTTCCAACATCAACCAACAGCTCTGACGAACAAATCACGTGCCAGGAGGCACCGCAAAGTCTGTGGCGATGATGGAGTCCACGATGATGTGCCGGATGTGGCTATAGATGACCTGCATCGCCAGTAAGGGCAGAGGATGACCACCGGGTCCCGACTGGGACTGCGCCAGCGTTTTTTCGGAAGTGGGGAAATACCGCGGAAATACCATGAATTTCAGGAATTGCTCGAGTTTGAATACTTTGATCAATTCACCATCCATCATGATATGGATCATTATGACTCACTATTCAACATACTTCACCATGATTAACCATGAATCGTTAACCAGTAGTCGAAAGGATGCATCACATCTTCAACGACACCTGGCCAATGGACTGCTTTGAGGGAACATCTACGGTAGTGGTTTGAAACTGGCTGGTTTCCGGCTTGGCTGGAAGATCTTCCCTTGAGCCAATGTTCACCAATTCTGGGATCATCTGGGCAGGGCTATGGCTTCCGATATCGATTGAACCACCAAGTGCAAAAAGTTTAAGGGCTCCCAAGTTTTCCAGTTGTGCCTCGTTTAACTCGGAGAACAAGTTGCACTCGTGCTTCGCTAAAATCTGGAAGAGCTTGCTGCAGTGCATGTTCTCCAAGCACGACATGTCCTCAGCTTCCAGCAAGTGAACAGGGCTGCTCCCAACACCCCAAATACGTTTGGGAGACAAAAGGGGTAAAATTGCAACTGTTCTTCCTAAAAGCAACTACAAGTTACCTGGAATGAGTGGGAGCAACCCTGGTAGGCGTCCAACATGTAGGGTTGTCGGGAGATAAAGGAAGAAATTGGCCAACAATAATTGGATATGACAATCTATTGGCGTCTCTAATCATGACAAATCCCAGGTGGAACATGCCTGTAAAAAGACAAGTCCCTCTCTTGCGCAAGGAGAAAACATACCCTTGAGGTAATAAAAAAATCCGTGCACAAGGATGGAGGATGACAATCTATGATGAATTCCAAAGCTGAATTAGAGATGTGCCATGAAATTTAAGGTGGATTCTCCAAACTTACCCCATCACTGGTGCCAGTGGTTAGCCTTCACAAGATATCACCTTCCCGAGGTTTTCTACCCGGCGGTAGCCCTCAGGCTCGGGCGTTGTAGCAGATCGCCAACTCGTGTTCAATCCTCGTTGGATCAGAATGGATACCCTCTGCGTTGATCAAACGTGGCACTTGAAAATCCACCCCCAAAAAATAAAAGCGGAAAAATTGGAAAATCATCTTGAGGCGATTATCAATGGTTGCGTTTCGGAAAAGTCATGTTACAGTCATGTTTGATTACTGGATGGTACCCAAATTACTGGCCTGAGGCGGCCTTCGCTGGAGAAACTGATGATAATCTTGGGGAAAACCAAAGTAGGATGCACTTTTGGTTGCTCAGACCCTGCGAGGTTGTGGGGATCCCCATACCCAACTCATCAAACCTGGTTTTAGCCTGCGCAAATCATGTATGTATGTCCCAAACCTCGAGCAAGTCCAGTTTTAGGGTGGGGGGGGCCTTACTCACCATTTGAGGTCACACACATGTTAAAATGTCATGTGCATGGCTCCGATCAGTTGTCATCCTAAAGCCTCAAACCACAAGGTTTCGAGTCATGAACATCATCAGCTACGTCATTCAAAATTCAGTTGGAGTCACCATCTGTGTGCAAATCGTCAACCAGCAACATTGCCATCAAAGGTCACCCATTTTTAGACAACCCACATACCCTCTGGTAAACTAACATAGCTATGGAAAGATCCACCATTTTTAATGGGAAAACTCACTATAAATGGGCCATGTTTAGTAGCTATGTTAAATTACCAGAGGGTAGATCCACCCACATAATTAGATCATGTTATAGATATTCCATATTTATAGATCAATCCCCTTAAATAGTGGTTTCCTAAAATAGGGCTACCTGACATAGATCCCACAAAATCCCAGTTGAATCTCGGATCACCCAAATCCATCGCCAAAGTCACTCGGTGAGAAACACGTTGCTGCGGCCCATGTGCCCAATGTCGTGGGCCAGAGCTGCCACGGTCAAGCCGAAACCTCGGATGCTCATCCAAGAAAACCAACGGATAGAAGCCGGGAGAAACAACGAAATAAATATATATAGGGATGTTAAAATTATATATATTATATATTATATATATATATACATATAACCTATACAGTATGCAGTCATATCAGATGTGAAGATAGAAATCTCAACAATGACATTCCTACTGTAAGAAATCAGGACTTGCAGCGTTCGGCAGTGGCTGGAGGGTGCAAGTGTGGGCTTCCCATGGAGATGCAAACATGAGCACGGGAAGATGATGGTGTGATAGGTCTGATAGGTAGTCAATCTGTAATGAATGATAATGAATGAATGACAGAGAGAAAAGGAATCATCATGTCTGAGCATAAATACTGTACCATTAAGGAAACATAACCGTACATAACCTAAAGATGCCTAAAATCTCATCATTACTTTAGTATACTTTATTCTCAACGGCTGCGGCCATGCAGTTGATCACTTTTTCCGCCGGCGGCTGCGGCAAGGGCCAGTCCAAGCTTGACGAGCAAGCACCTACTGTAGTGGAGTCCCTGTAGTGGAGTCCGGAACCAGAGAAACATGGGCCAAAACAAGACACTTCAAATTGTTACTTGGACCTGCACCATTTGCAGTGCCAACTTGGAACATAATAAAACTGTCTACATTTCCTGCACGCGAGCTTCTGTTCATAATTAGCATCCCCCTTCTTGTACAAGATTTCTAATTGGGGTGGTGGCATAAGCTCGAAATTGCGTTCAAGGACTTTCTGCACAAGGTCTGGATACTTGTAGCACATGCTCCAGTCCTTTTCACCATTTTTCAGAAGGTGATCAATCCACTTCTCCGCATAATTATGGAGCCCTGAGCGGTAAGCCTGGACCACCCGCTGCACTGATGGTGGTTGAGCCTTAAGAAACTCAATGCTTTCTTTGTGCAGGATGTCGATGCAATACTCATCGCACCAACGGAGGAGCAAGTCCAAGTTCTCGTCGGACACCTTCTGCAGCCGACCTGTCACAGGCTGAAGAAACTCAAGGAGAACCTTGAACTCTTCGGGGCACTCGCCAGGCAGCTCAACCTGTTTCGTCTTCTTCTCCTTCATGTCTTGCGACAACATCTTGTTGAAGACTGGAGAAGCCAGCATCAGAACAGACGAATTGGTCCGGATGTCTGTAAGGGCATCGTCGTCAAACACAATGGTGATGTCCTGCACGGAAATTGCAGAAACTCTGCAGGTGATGGGTTGCCGCTGGTCATCGAATATGGCAACGGACAGTCCCTGTGTTTGATGGGAAATCATCTACAAATGAATATAAATAGGGGTCTTCCATTGCCGAATTAGATTACGAGCCATTATTCCAACTAAAACCCCAAACTGAAACCTTTCATGGGCTCTCTCCGGGGGCTGGAAATTATCCCAATTGTTTCCAGAATTTTTGGAAAATATGTTTTTGTTCAGACCGGTCCTCCATTGAAGCGAACAGCACAGGGGACAGCAGCTGGTTCCTGTCTGAGCCCTTTTAAATGCCTGCAACACAAGCCCGGCACAATCAACATGCAAAAACAATTACAAGGCATACGGGTACCCAACCAAGCTGTCATGAATGAGTGAATTGATGAATGCATGAATGACTGGTACGGAAAAAATGAACCGTCATGATTCGTGTCTCTGTGGCTGCGGTCCCCACAACTGTTGGCTGATCACTTTTTCCATCGGCCAGCGGCTTGTGCGGCAAGGGCCAGGAACACGCACCCACTGTAGTGGAGTCCAAAACCGTAGGTATGCGGGGCAAAGCAAGAAACTTTACTGGTACCCGCATGATTTACATTGCCACCCTGAGACATATGTGCATGCGCACTTTTCGCACGTCAACTTGTGTCCAAAATCAAGCCTCCCATTCTTGTGCAAGTGCGCTTTTGGCATTGGTCCCGAGCGCAAGAGTTTCAAACTGCGTTCGAGGAGCTTCTGCACTAGCTCTGGGTACTTGTAGCAAGAGCTCCAGTCGGCTTCGCCATTTTTCAGGAGCTGATCATCAATATACTTCTCTGCATGATCATGTAGCCCTGCACGGTATGCCTGGACCACTCGCTGCACTGAAGGTGGCTCCACCTTGATATATTCAATGCACTCACCGTACAAACTCTCGATGCAGTACTCATCGCACCATCGGAGGAGCAAATCCACATTCTCGTCCGAAATCTTTTGAAGCCTGCCAGTGGCGGGTTGAAGAAACTCAAGGAGAACCTTGAACTCTTCTGGGCACTTGCCAGGCAACTTGATCTCATTGGTCTGTTTTTCCTTCATCTCTTGCGACAACATCTTGCGGAAGACTGGAGAAGCCAACGTCAGAACAGACGCATGGGTTCGTATCTCCGCAAGAGCCTCGTCGTCAAACACAATGGTGATGTCCTGCACTGAAAACGCTAAAACTCTGCAGCTCAGCTCAGGGGAATATTGGCTAGGACCAACTGTTCCATTGCCAGGAGTTACTCCAACAAGAGCCCTAAAAGACACATCAATCAGGGGCTCCCTCTGGGGGCTGGTCCTCCATGTTTCAGCCAACAGGCGACAGAGGCTGCTTCCTGTCTGAGCCCTAAAGCTGCAGAATAGACCTGGCATAATCAACATATGTACCACGGTCAAGCTACATGGTAGTCCATGGTCATCCATCCCATATTGGGAATCCTCACTCAATGGCTACTTAAAACCCGTTCTGAAAATGGGATCCTGGCAGCGGATCTTCATCCCATGGTTTCTTCGAAAGCTCCGTTTCACCATCACAGACTTCGGCCGTGATTGAGATCTTCCGAGGGCCCCTGCATTCCAGGTGACCCAAATAGGTCTCCTCGCCAACGAAAGTGGTAGTTTTGTAGTTTTTTTGGTTATCTGGGGTTATCTGGACTGCAAGATCCTGTAAGTACCTTGAAAGATTTGACACCAGTAATAACAAAGAACGAACATCGAAACTACGCCGAAACTCAACAAGAGCATAGTTCCTGTCAGACAAACCCTTCAGCAATCCAAATTCCGCTACAATGTCAGAAACTGCAGAACGGAAAATGCAGCCAGATTTCCACTGGAGAAGGGGGGTTGAGTCAGCCACTATTTCCACCCATGATTCAATCACCAACCAGTTACCCTCTGGTAATGACTAACATAGCTAGAAATAATGGCCATTCATAGATGATTTACCTCGCAAAAATGGTGATGTTCCACTTCGCTATGTTAGTCATTACCACTTTTTTTTTATACCAAACATTAGACTGAAAAATTGGTTGTCTTTTTTGTCCAGGGGGTTGATCCCATGTTTCATTCTTCACTCCCCGGGGGCGGGCGTACCGCGGCGATGAGGTCCAAGGTGCGCCAGAGGGTAAAGGTGGCATCTACCTCGGTGGATAGGTGGATGCCATGGATACCCGGCCTGGTAATGACTAACATAGCCATGGAAAATGGCCCATTTATAATTGATTTACCTATTCAAAATGGTGATTTTCTGTAGCTATGTTAGTTTACCAGAGGGTAATCCCATGGATTACGGTTTTGTTGGGAAAATCTGAACACCGGAAACCCATGGGT